CAACACTCTTGGCACCAGCAGCCAGGAAATAAAAAAACGTATTGCGATGGGAAAGTCTGCTGTTAGGGACCTCTCTAAAGTACTGAAGAGCAACGATATAAGTCTGAAGACTACGGTGCGCTTGACCCAGGCCATTGTCTTTGCAATTACTTGCTATGCATCAGAGAGCTGGACAATGTGTTGAATATACCATGGACTGCTAGGAGAACAAACAAATTCATTCTATAAAGGGTGAGACTAGCTGCTCCTTGGAGGCATGGATTCTGAAGCTTCATCTGACATACTGTGGACATGTTGCAAGGAGGGACCAGTCCTTATAGAGTGATGTCATTCCTGGGAGGGTAGAAGGACAGCACAAGAGAGAAAGACCCTGGATGAGATGGATTGATTCAGTGACTAGGCAGTTGTGTCATGGACAATGAGATTGGCAAAGAATAGAGCAGGGTTTAGGGCTGTTGTACATAGGGGTTGTTATGAGTTGCAGGCAGCTCTATAGCACATAACAGCAACATTTTCATCAATACCATGTAATAATTTGAAGTTAACATTTTACGATAAAAAGGGACTCTTCTTTTGTAACCAGTAGGATAAAATGAATGAAGACTAACCTCTTAATTAATGGATGCTAACTCCTCAAGCTATATTGTTGATAGGGTTTTTGAGGGCCTGTTAAGATGTAGATACCCAATCCTTCCTAGTCTGTTTTAATTTGTGAGCTCTGCTTCAGTACAGCATCTGACAGACAAGCTCTGTACCCAAAAGAGCAGATGGTAGGAAGGAGGTTAGACTTTATTAAAAATAAATATAGCATCAAGATCACAGGAAGACTCATCAACAAACTGCATTATGCAGATGACACAATCTTGCTTGTGGAAACTGAGGAGGATCTGAAGTGTTTTCTGCAAAAGGTCAAGGACTACAGCCTTTACTATAGATTACATCTCAACATCAAGAAAACAAAGTCTCACCACTGAGCCAATAGGCAGTATCATGATTGTGTTCTTGATGTTATTATGTGCCATGGAGTCACATGTGATTCATAGTGACCCCTTATGTACACTAGCTCTGAAACCTGCCCTATTCTGAGCCAATCTCATCGCCTTTGAAAGACCTAATCCCATTTCTCCAGTCACTGAGTCAATCATCTCATTGATCTTCCTCGTCTGCGTTGTCCCTCCACCCTTCC